GGCCAAGGCAGTGATCAACTCCAAGATAACCAGTATAGCAACCTTTCTGAACACCAAAACTCAGGGAAAGCGTTTAAAGTTGCCGTGAGTCATAGTCATCTTGAAATTTAAAATATATCTTACTAAATACTAACTTCTTCAATTGCCAGTTCATCGAAAACGGAGACCATTTACAGAACCGCCGATGGACGACCTCTTTACGAAGCCGAGAGTCCCGACGAGTTGGCCCTGGTGAATGCTGCCTACAGCTATGATTGTTGCCTGTTAAATCGTAGTGTCAATCAAATCTTGGTCAGCATGCCCATGGCGGGAGCCACGAAGGAGTATGAGATACTCAAAGTATTGCCCTTCGACTCCAGTCGCAAGTGCATGTCCATTGTGGTGCGGCAGATTGGCAGCCAGGAGATTGTGCTGTACACCAAGGGTGCGGATACTTCCATCATGCCTGTCCTAGTGCCCTGCTCGCACAACAGTCCCGAGGGTAAGTGGAAATATATATATTTGCCTAACACCAAAATTAACTTATTTGTTATTGATCCTGTCAGGGATCCTGCGAGAACAGACGCAGCAAGAGCTGGATCGCTATGCCCGCGAGGGTCTGCGCATCTTGGTGATGGCCAAGAGGACCCTCAACTCGGCCGACTATACGGATTGGTGGGCACGCCATCAGGAGATCGAGATGTCGCTAGAGAACCGCGAGCGAAGACTACGCGACTCTTTCGCCAAGCTGGAAAGCAATCTCACCCTGCTGGGGGCAACAGGAATCGAGGATCGCCTGCAGGAGGGAGTGCCAGAGACGATAGCATCGCTACTCTCTGCGGGCATCTCAGTTTGGGTTTTGACTGGCGATAAACCCGAAACGGCCATAAATATTGCCTACTCTGCAAAACTCTTTACTCAGCAAATGGAGCTCATCAGGCAAGTAAAACGGTCTTATTAACTTGAAACTTGGAACACAAATACATTATTTAAAATATGTTTTAAATTTTAACTAGTTTTTGAGTTGCTCTCTAACCAGATTTTCGCTTTTTTGATTTAGGTTGACTGCGCGATCCCGCGATGCAGCTGAAACAGCTATAAATTTCTATCTGACTGACATGGAGAACGATAAGACAACATCAACTTTGTGCTATGGCCAGACGTTGAGAAGGAAACAGCGTGCATTGGTAGTGGATGGCAAGACGCTAACCTTTATTCTAGATCCAAAGTGAGTTTAAAAATAGGCTTAGTGTTACGTCAACATTTTATAACTAACCTTACCTTCTATCAGATCCAAATTGATTTTGCCTTTTCTGCGATTGGCCAAGAGATGCGCTTCTGTGCTCTGTTGCCGCTCTACGCCCCTGCAGAAGGCTTACCTAGTCAAAGTGGTCAAGGAGGAGCTCAATCTGCGCACCCTGGCCATCGGGGATGGCGCCAACGATGTGTCCATGATCCAGATGGCCGACGTGGGCGTCGGAATCTCTGGTCAAGAGGGCATGCAGGCTGTGATGGCCGCCGATTTCACACTGCCCCGCTTTCGTTACCTGGAGCGGTTGCTCCTGGCGCATGGCTATTGGTGCTACGATCGATTGTCCCGCATGATTTTGTATTTTTTCTATAAGAATGCTGTAAGTCTTCAAGTTTTCAAGGATCTACATTTTATGTTTAACTTAAAATGGAGTTAATTTTTTATAGCGCTTAGTCAAACGCTACTTAAACTTACTAAAAAATTATAGTAAAGAGATACAAACCATATAAACAACCTCCCATTCTTCCAGGCCTTTGTCTTTCTGATATTCTGGTACCAGTTGTATTGCGGATTCTCCGGCTCCGTGATGATGGATCAGATGTACTTGATGCTGTATAATTTGATATTCACCTCGCTGCCGCCCTTGGCCATTGGAGTGTACGACAAGCGTGTGCCCGAAGATCTCCTCCTGAAAAACCCATATCTCTATAAAAATGTGAGTTCCCAAACAAGTTCTAATAATTGAATTCAGTCCAGAGTCATTATAGTTATGGTATTGAAACTTGTTCACTGCCTCATTGCATTCATTAAACCGGCTATATATTAACTATTTTAAATTTTAATTGATTAACTTTTGGCATCTCTCTACTTTCCACAGGGTCGACTAAGCGAAGCTTATAGACCGCACGACTTCTGGCTGATATTACTGGATGCCCTCTATCAAAGTCTGGTCATATTTTTCGTGGCGCTGTGCGCCTATGCGGAGAGCGATGTGGGGATCTGGGAGTTTGGCACAACGATAACGGCTTCCTGTCTGTTCGCCAATCTTGTGCACTGTGCCATAGAAATACGTTCCTGGGTGAGTTATTTAGATATTACTTCATCATTACTACAGTAAACTCCATCAGAAGGAGGATTTGTAAAGAATATTTTATATTTTAATGGCACATTTCAAAAGTAAAAACTGAATGCTGCATGTACAATACTAACTTTGTTTATATATTTATTTAATTTATATTTTCTGTTTTCCCGTTTTCAGACTGTACTGCATGTCTTGTCCATAGTGGTTAGCTTAGGTTCCTTCTACCTCTTCTCGATTGTGTACAATTCAGTGTGCGTGAATTGCTTCGGAGTGCTCTCCACGTACTGGGTGATCTTCGTATGCTTCAGCTCTGCTGTCCACTGGTTGGTGATACTTCTCTCCACAGTGGTGGCTGTTCTGCCACGGTAAGTTTGGGGATTGGGGAATTGTTTTTTTGAAGCTGATTAAACTTTTGTTATTGTTACAGCCTGCTCCTGACCACAGTGCGAATCTCGCTGTGTCCCGACGACAGCACCAAAGTTATTCTGCAGAGCAAGCGTGAGCGCAGCAGAGGTGAGGGTTTGTTAGTTACTTGGTCGCGCTCCACGTCAGCCTCATCAATTTATAGGTAAAAAGGCACAAAATTCTTGACTTGACAGCAAGCTGCAACTGTTTTCTTTGCACGATTTGAGTAAACACCGTTCTGTGCATGTGACTTTTCCAATATATGAGTTTTATTATGATTTTGTGTCTTTTTATTTGTACATTGCTTTGCCTATCCACACCTAAACTCCGCTGCCTTACCTAATTAAATGCATATCATTTTACAGAATCACCGATTATGGGTCTAAGAATCAGATTATAACAACGATTACCTGATCGAGCGCCAATATGCAATTCCTCGGCTATCTCAGCAGCAACTAGGATAAGGAAACACAACTAGCAACACCGCAAACATGTACGCATGTGCTTTCACTCTAATTAATGTGGCCTTCGACACCGATTATTATAATATTGCGTTAGCTTAGTTCATCCACTTTGTTTCGTGGTTCCGAGAGTAATTAGCCTAAATGTACTTAGTGACCAATTGAAATAATTTGTTTAGCGAATGATTTGTTAAAAACGCGCCTAGGGATCCGATTTAACTATCTGAGTTTAAGTTAAAATGTTTGCCCTAACGCTTAGATGGAAAGCAATTGAGGTTGCACAATTGCACTTATGTCAGTTAGTTTACATATTTATTTGTATATAAGTAGAGAGTTAGTGCACTAGAACCGAACCCAATCTAACCGACTATTGTTAAACAGAACCGAAAATACAATGCTAATTCATGTGGGTACAATACCTTGTACGAATATTAAAACTAGCGACTAATATATGTATCACCCTATCAGAAATACTTGACAATTCAAACACAACAGAACTCCAATGAGAGTTCTATGAAAAGGCTGTGATTCTACACTCATGAAGGATATACCTAAGCATAAGATATACACATAGCTATAGACCTAGACTTGTACGTTAGTTGCATTGATTCAAGTATTGACAGAATTGTTTCTCACCCTCTGTTTCTTAGTTTATTGTGTAAACAAGTGAATTTTTTACTTTTTTATTGAGACCATGCAATGACAAGTGGTAATAATCGATTGTTGTAATCCATTAGTTGTACTAAACCATTTACTCTACTTGTAGTCCTCTTCAAAAAGAATACATTAAGAAAAACTCTAAATGCAATTCGAAATTAATTTGGTACGTTAAAATGATAGATACCAGAGAGCAAAAATCGTTAGCTGAATATTTACATTGTTGAAAAGCAAGAAATCATTAAATGAAATAAATGTATATTTACCTAAAAAGTTCATTGTGTGTTTGGAAATCCGATTTGGATCTGGGAAAATGAAAGCGAGATACATGCAAAATCTTGAAAAATAATTAGTTTGTCTATATTGACTTGAAGAAGAATAAAAATACATTCACGAGTGGGAGAATTTTTTCTTTTTGCGTTTTAAACACCTGTTAAAAAATGTAATACCCTCTCAAATTTTTCAATTATCCTCAAGGATCACACTAAGCCGGAGCAGACATTTGTTACACAAAGGTTATTGTGATGCACATTAGCATAATAATCTTAAAATAATCTCCAGATAGCTGTAAACGAACATGATCGGCTATATTGTACACTACACTGTTTAATGAAATTATTTTTTTTCTAGAAAAAAACCAATGATTATATTTGTCTGTGCGCTGTGTGTACAAAGGAAAGGTCCTTTACAAAATGGAGCAGACTGACAGTCTATGCGTTTCGTTTGAGTCTCCCACTTCCGCGTTATCAAAATCAGAGTTATAAAAAGGGTTTTCAAATATGTTACAGTGGAATCCACCTATCATTCGGCATAGTTCGTGTACACGCTAAATACCCAGCACACTCACCCTGGTTTAAGTCTAAAATTACTTCCATTGGCTGAGATAGTGATGTAAGTTGAAGGGGTATGATATATTGTGTCGTGATAAACATCGAATATATTTGAATCGAAAAAATGTTTTGTTACTGATGAAAACTTTGTTATGATATTATTATAAACTAATTTTAAATACTTCTTTGTATTTCTAAAACAATGCGTTGCATTGCAAAACTATACATTGTTTAAATATGAATGTAAATATCGCAGTATGCTTCTACAGCCGATATATCGGTGTTTCTCCCATCCCTAGACTGAGAGCGAGTTCTCTCCGTCTGTTTAGCATTCGCTTTATCACGCATTCGTCTTTTGAAATCCCCATTCGACGGATGGTAAAAATTTGACGGATGGTCAAGATTTAGCTGAACGGATTCGCGTCGGAGTAATTGAGCCACCTTTTTGCTTTTTGAGGCGGCCAAACGAAGAAGTGTCGAATTGATTTTGTGCTATTTGCGTGAAAAGCATCGCTCCGTCGGGCCTGTGTGTGTGTATGGTAAAACATAAATAAAGTGCAATTACGGGTCAGTAACCCAAACAAAGAAGTGATAAGAGTGCAAAGGGTCCTTGAAAGCGAGTGTAAAGAGTGATAAGTCTGCTTGGAACAATGTGCTCGAAAATCTCTTATTTGCCTGTGTACGAATGTGTGGGTGTTTAACTCACCTGTGTGTGTGCGGACATCTGTTCTGTCTCGTCTTCTTATGCTTCCATCCGTCCGTCTCACTGTCCCCCACCGTCCACCCCTGTCCCTTACCGACCTCCTGCGGTCCAGTCTCCTCGTCTCGCTCTACATGCCCACCAGGTAAAGGTGTGTGAGTGGGGTCTTACAGGCTGGCTCTCTCTCGCTCTCTCTCTCTCTGTGTGTGGTAAACTATTTATTGTTCTTTCATAATGCAAAAAGCAAACTATTTCAAATGGATAACTTGATATAAAAACTATGTAAGCAGTTGTAATTATTTCGTATTGTTATTCATTTGCTCTGTTAGGAAATTTGACAAACCTCGACCTTAAAGGTGTTGATTTTGTTTTGAAGGAAGAAATATTTTTAAATGTTTTTTTTTTTCTCAGAGCTAATTTTGTGAGCTAATTGCTTTACCCTAATTGCTTGAAATTTTACAATTTTTTAATGAAACAAACGAATTTCTCAAATTAACAGAGAGCATTTCAATGGCAATAAACATGAGTGTGAAAATTTTCAAGGTGCGAGATTAGTTTCCTTGATGTTGAGCCACCCTGATTTTTCTTTGAAGGCACTTGTTACAGATTCCTTTTTTCCTCTTTCACTCTCTTTTCTCTCGCTCCCCCACTGAGTTTTTCTTTGTGACGTTTTATGGCGTTTTCTTCGTTGTTGCTTTCCAATTGATTTATTTTTGCATAATCGTTCAGTGCCAGACCAAAGCAACTCATAAGCAAAAGAAAAAATAAACGCATGCTAAGTACAATTGACATGTGTATATGTATGTAGTACTCTCACATGTTTACATGTCCACTATATCTAAAGGTTTTGTGATTTTTGACAAAAGGCGAATGATTTGCAGTCCCGTGCTAATGGCAAAATCATATTTCCGTTGCCGAGAAATGATCAATGGAATTCTATACGTTTTTGCACTTCGAGTTTTCGAGCAATGATTTTAGTCGCGTTCAAAATGTTCAAACTGTTCCACCACGAAAGATACATAAGTAAGAACTGGTTTTCCTATCCCAACTCACAGAATTTATCACAGCTATTCTAAAATGAGTGTGACAAATTTGAGATCAAAATTAGTTCAACAATGAAATTAAGCTTTCTATTGGAGGTGTATGTGATTTCAAAAGAAACACTATAAGGAAAAGGTATACAAATACACAACTGTTTTGATACGAATAACGTTTTGATTACGACAACTGTAAATATCGGTTTGCGGGAAAGGCACATTTTCAATCCATTAAAAAATAATGGTCAGTAGAAATAAAGATTCACTTCCTGTTAACTTGAAACTTAGCGGAATAACTAAATTCATTCAGAATTTATTACCTACATTACCACTATATGTACGCATATTGGTCGGTAAAGATTGATAGTACTTGGATTTATTGTGTTGGCTAATCAGTTTTGAAATCGAACTCTTAAAATTATACCTATAACGGCATTCAAATAAATGAATTTATTATTTTCTTACCATTAAAAAATTGTTTGTCCATTTTTTAGTTTTTCAACAAAACAACAACAAACAACAACAAAAAGTAAATTTTAATATTTCACGAAAAAAAAGCTTAGCATTAAATTTAAAAAAACACTTAAATGTACGTCTAATACGCAATTAATTCGGATGTATTTAAAGTAAACTTGATAATTTACCTGAGAAAAGTTTATTTATATAGAGAACAAACTTGTCTTGCCCACAATTTAAGAAAATTGGTTAGTTTTAACCAATTCAAGCAAAACAACCGTACTTTTTTATTTACGTTAACCATTGTTAACCGATTTTCCTGCATTTACACCTTGATGTGTAATTCCAATATTCGTATAGCTTGTTCCATTTCTTGCGCTTGACAGACGCTCTCTCTCGGCCCTGCTCCCCATACCCTCTCTTTCGTTTCCTTTTGGTGTTTGTAGCCCCAATTAGCTGGGTTTTCTTGCCAAATCTCGGCACGTAACAAAATGAGCGAGGTAAAAACACTAACAACATTAAGGCATAAACATAATCGCGCGATCGCGTTGTGCTCTCTTTCTAACGGTATTTGTGCTGGCGCTGTCCTCTCTCGCTCGGTTAACAAAACACAAAAACCGGTTTAACGCAGATCTTAGCTCTCCATTCGTCCCGCTCGACTTGCTCCGAAAAACTCACTCTCTCCCAGAAGAGAAAGACAAATATACGCGATTGTTATTGTTCAATAAATCAAATAATTCATTCAATTATTTTCAGCGAAACAAAAATGTGCAATTTGAATGCCAAGTAACTTGAGGAATCTCTTTTCTATTTTGTGTGTTTACAAATAAATTCCCCCAAATTAATGTGCGAAAGAATCTCACTGAACAATAAAATTGAATGAAAAGTCGCAGTGAAAATCGAAAGCAAGGAGGAAACGCAAGGAAAGCAAGTTGAAGGTAAGTCCTTACAATTTTATTTGCTTTTATTTATCGATTGGCGTCGTTTGAAAACTTGTCAACGGTTTTATCAGCTGCTCTGCAAACTTCCCACTCATGGCCCCAATATATCGAGTTGTTAACATTGCAACGGACCAGTTGGGATATTACGTGACTTCTTTTTTCACCGAAAACCCCTTGAACATAACAGCTATGGTGACGAAAATTGAAATCAAATCGCCGAGTGTGTCACACAATATCAATCAAAGTCGCAGAAACAATGCTTCAACAGCTGAAACTGCAATTCAATTTAACGGAACACGGTGGAGGGATAACTTTTCCGACTGGCGGAAAATCGATTGCAACGTCAGCAATTGGTACGACTTTAGGACTTCCTAGTAGTCAAACTTTGCCCACGAGGTTATTCAATCTTAGCCGAAAATCAGGACCCTCAATTTGTGACACGGATTATATGCCATTCCTTTGTGAGGTTCCTTTTTGGCAGTATGGTTTGCTGTGACTCTTAATGTAACATTGTTTTTAATAACATCAAGTGGATTGCGCAACGTTATAATAGCAAATAGAGCTTCAGAGAGCTAGTAGTAAATCAACAAAAAGATGTGTACTTTACGTTAGGAATAAAAACAACAACAAGATGTGTACTTCACGTTTAAAATAAAAACAACCTTAAAACTTTAAGTAAAACGCAGGCTGGTTAAAAAATGACCTGTCTAATTTATTAACTTTTAGGTGTCACATTAAATGATTATAGTTCAATCTTTTTTGCTTTAAAAAAATGTTAAACTAAATATACATTTTGTAGGACAAGTTGTTAAATTTACAGTTTAACGTAATAAATACAATTTGAACGATCTATGATCTATTTCATATTTTTGACGACATTTTTTCAGCTGCAGTCTTGTGTTTTGTTTTCCGCAGCAGTTAAAACTTTTCATTTAAATTCGAAATCCCTGTCTATATTTTTTTTCTTTTTCGCCTCTGATCAATTCGCCATGCAGTTGATTTTGTGTCTATATTTCTTTTATACTTCCCAAGTGAACTGTTTTCTCCTTTGGCTTTTGCTTTACCTTTTGTGCAATCGCTGAATAAGTTTTCACATATTGTCCAATTATGCCTTTAAACGATCATTGAATTTAATTTCATTTTAAAGTCATGGGCAGAAATGTTTTCATAATCTGGGAGTCGCGTTGTTACATCATTAACGTACTTGAAAAGTTATTAATTTTGTGTGGAATGGTACAGAAGAAGGGAATGCGAAGTTCTTTAATCAAAGGAAAAGATAATTTTAATTAAAATTTTTCCACAATGTCAGCGGAAAACTTGAAGAAGAAGTTTAAGTTTGCTAATAGCCACAACTATTTCATAAGTTGAGGGGGTATTTATGTTTATTTGGGCAGGCTTTGCAAGGCGTAAATTTTCCCCCGTTTGCTGGAAATACTTAAAATTTTCGCCTTAAAGTGGCAATTAAAAAAGCATAAAAACAAGCACAGAAAGTACTCAAGAAATAATATGGCATAATGTTTACTTTTTAGCTTGTTCGTTGGAAGGAACAAATTTGTTCAGATGTGTTAAATTACTATAAAATACAATTTTTATTTAGAAACTGTTCCAATTTAAAAAAAAAGAGTCACGGCAACTGATTCCAGCTTTAGGGTTACTAGTCAAAAATCGCACGAAATTTCTCAAATTCGTCATTGACTTTTGTTTTCGTTTCTCATTCTCAGGCGTAGAAAGCGTGGTTTTAAAACAAAGCCAACAACAACGGCGATCAGAAATTATACAAATTTCGGTTGTGTGGCAACGAGCACAATAACAACAATGATAACCATTTTAGTAAATTCACCAAATACCAGTAAGAGAAAAAATAGGCTTTTTTGTTTACATTCGTTTTTTCCTCCTCGACTGCACACGAATTGCGTTGAACAGAGATTTAGGGCCACACATTCATTCATTCATTCACTCACTCTTTCGTTCACTTGTTTCACGTTCACTCATTCACCTATTTATTTAATTTTTCGTGTATATTTTTCAACTTTTCCTGTTGTAATTTTTTGATTGCTCCGACTGTGTCGCATGTTGGCGTTTTTAGGTCAGTTCCAATCTGTGTTTTTGCCCTGCCTGCACACGCAAATTAAAGTTTACCCCAAAAAGCCGCCTCTAAACTTTTCCTGATTTTCATTTCTAAACAATGGTATTTTAAGTTTGGATTTTTGTTGGGCAGTTTTTTAGGGTTTCTCCCTATGCGAGTTGAATTTTAATTTCGGTTAAGCTCTGATTACTTTCTTTTTTATTTATTTATAAATTCAAAAACTGACTTGATGTCTTCTTAGCCCAAAATTAATATGCTACTCTTTGGATTCAAGCATATACCACAACAGTTTTACATATTTAAAGATCAAAAGCTATGCTGTTCCGAATTCTTTGTTGGACTTCTCTATAGAATTCCCTCTCCCCAGATTTTCGTGGGTCGGATGTTCGCCTCTAGCTAATCCCGCCCCCTAGATTAACTCCCGTCGAGAAGAACTTAAACAAACAAGCGGGAAACACAAACAAACTGAACGTAAAGCTCTTTTGGGGCAAGTGATGATGCTGGGAATGGGCATAATCCGATCTATCCAATCTGCATTTGGGTCCGATCTGAGGGGTGTATGCTCTGTTGATTTGTCTTCATTATCAGCTCGTTGACTGTTTGCTATTTGCCTCTGATTCTCGGGTAAACATAGAGCCAGACGACGTGGCCGTGATTGTTTGTAGTGTTTGCTTTTTGTGGTAAAACTTATTTTTAATCTTCGAGCACACAGCGCGTTGCCAAGTCGCTCCTCCCACGGCATTTTTTTTGGCCGCCCCTAAGTTTCACCCCCGGAAACCGCCATGGCGTATGAGTTATTTTCGTTTGTTCGATGGGTTCAAGTCGATCGGACGCTTTGCAAATTTTATGAATGCTTCTGACAGCCCCACAACCGCCTCCTTTCCAATAAACTATGGATACACCAACACGCTTTTATCATTTTTTGACAGCAATGCACAGTGGTTGCAGATTTTGTTGCTCAACTAAAGGAAGCAAATCAATATTTTGGTATCTGATTTTAATAGGATTACTTTTTCACACTTATATTATCCCTTAACTTTAATTACAAAACATTTATTTAGGCTTAGATTTATCAATGCGTCTTAAGATTACTGTATTTGTCCTTTGTTTAATATATACCATATTTTTAAAGTGCTTCAATTTGACATTCTTTCTTTTTTCTAACTCTCAGTAACTTTATTTAATCAACAAGTCTCAGCCAGCTAACTGCCGAAATATTTTAGCTTCCAATAGTTTTTTTCTCCAATACTTTTAACTTTGTGAATATTAAAATAAATATATCATAAATCACTGTAGCTAGTGCTACTTTCTGTCCGTCTAGGTATATATAGATGAGATGGGCATATTTTATTCAGGCAATGCAGCTTGTTTATCTCTGATATATTGACGCATGGCTCCTGTTGTGGCTTCCATTGTTTCTATTTTAATTATTCCGCATCTTTATAATTCCCAAACATGCGTCAAATGCCCCCGAGATGCAAACACAAGCAGATATACGGCTATAAAGGAATATGGCCAAGCTTTGGGAACTGGTACGTGAAATGATTTCAGCCAAATGTTGGCTTAATAACTGTTTTTGTTTGCTTCTGGCTTCCCAGAGCCATATATTCATTTCCTTTTTGCCTCCACCCCCTTTCCCCTTTCCCCATCACAGTTTCCCGTTTCCCAGGCAAGTGTCTTTTGTTTTATCAGCTGCAAAAAGTTTTGTTGAATAAACAAGTGAACCTTTTTCTGGCTCGTATATTGTGTTTTGTAGCGAATTTGAATTATTATCCAAGAGCCTGTGACGTCAAACTGCAGTGGAAAGCAATGGGATGAGGTAAAAAGCTTCTGTGTTTTTAACTGGCCTTTAAATTTCAAGGCGATTACCGTGATTGATCTTAAGTTAGACAGCAAGAAAATCGGATTCGATTTTATCTACCCCAAGGTTAAGGCATTTTGACTACTGTAATGTCAGCAAACGGTTACAAAACATTCTTATCTGCCTAAGTTAATTCTCAGGATTTATGTGTGTCACTCCGTTTGAGTTTGTGCCACTCTTGGCCTGGCCTTCGCAGCCGGTCAAACGAGTACCAATGACCAATGCGACATAGCTATAGATGCAGATCTATATGTACTCAAAGATTCAGATACCGGTTTGCAGAAACACACCCACTTGAAATGCTGTCATCCACATCTGCAATGTCCAAGACAAGAAGCAAACAGTAAAAAATCATTACCTTGTTGTTTGCATCTAGCAATAAATCATTTTAAGTATTTTAACATACTTGTTGAGAATTTTAAAGCGTTTTCAATAAAGCGGTTAACATTAAAGTTAACAAAATTAAAAACTATTTAAAAATTATATTGTTAAGGTGAAGCTGTAGGTAACGATCAGCATATCTTTTTTAGGATATGTTGTAAGTTTAGTCTATAAATAATTGATTTTTAATATATGCACAATGAAATAAACCTTTGGAAATATAATTGATCATAACTTATGCCCTCATTTTTTCTCAATGCAATAAATGGCCGGAACGTAATTATGAAATAAATTAATCGGTCTTTGTTGGAGTCTGAGTCTGGGTCTTGACCGGATCGTGAATCGATCAATTACTGTGAGAGAGGCCAAACTGTACTCTGGCTAATAATCGAGGTCAGCACTCTCCATATGGAGACAAAGCAGCAAGATCAGCGAACTTTCCGGGCTATGTGGTGGGGGAGGTGGAGGTGCTATGATTCAGCTGGGGGCCACCTTATGAGACACCCGCGATGGGATGAGATCTTGGGCAATGAATTAATGCACAGTTTCCCGCCACTCTTGGCACATCTCGCTCGGTGACATGTGACTTTTGGCGACTTGTGCAATTAAGAGCTGCAGCAACAAACACAAAAGTGTCGCAGTCGCAGCGGTAGTTACAGATACAAATACAGATACAGATACAGATCCAGTGCCCTGTTCCATTGAAACTCACTCTCCGTGCCAAAACTCAACTGAATGGAGCTGACGCTGACTAAGAGGATTATTTTCCACTCCGTTGCTGTTGAATCTTGGTGTTGCTGCACTGTAATCCGATCCACTTCATCTAACTCACACCGATTTGGGTGTTTTGTTGTGCACGGCGAGTCATCTGGGTGGGTGGTTTGAATACTTCACGGAAGCCCCTCTTTTTCGAACCAAACCTTACCCAAACAGCAGCAAACCGATCCAAGCCAAACCAAACCCAACCCAACCCAAAGTAATTTAAAACAAAAAGCTTAAAACGAGTTTTTGTCGAATTGCAATGGCCAAATAATTGCACGAAACGCATTCGAGTTGCACCACCGAGTGCACAAAAGGGGGGAATGGAAGCTAAGCCTGTGGGTCTTAGGAAACTTGAGAGCTGCAGTCGAGTTGGCCAAAAGAATGCCTTTATAGCGTTTGGGATAACAGTCGGGAACAAAGAAACATTTGGAAAAACGGTACGCTCTAAAGAAGACTTAGTAAAGATTAAGTATACCTTTACTAATACGATATATAATAACAGTGGGTAAAAACGACTTGACAACCAAAACTGGAAGCATATAAATCAAAATATATGGGAAAGAATTTGTGAATTTATGAATTTCAAAAATCATAAATAATATTTTTAAAGTCTTGTCAAGAAGCTTGTTTTACACAAATATGAATTAATTTCGGTGCATATTGCTGAAAAGCTAAGTCCTAAAATATTAAAATAAGTAAAAGTAATTCGAGTTAAATACCATTTATAGGTGTACTTAACGATTTTAGTTTTATACATAAATCGAAGTGAAAAGAAGTTGTATATAATTTGCGAACATCCAAGTATCACTTTTTGCATGACATTTAAATCTATAGCAAATTACTGTTCGGAACCGAAAACTAATGGAATTATTTCACTTAATATAGCATATAAAGTCTTGTAAATCCCAAAACAGCTCAGTCGTAATTAAAATCGAGTGATATCATGAATATCGTACCGTTAGATGCTTTTGAAACTCTTCCGATTTCCGCCAACCTTAGAACTCCTATGATTTGTCCGCCACTCTTTTCGTGGCACTCTGTGGCGAAGATGTGTATCCCTAATGGTGACATAGACATAGACAAATTGTATCCACCTGATGGAGGGTATGGAGAAATTCCTGGAGGAATCCCTGGAGGAATACCAGGAGGCATACCTGGAGGAAAAAATGATGGAAAACCTGGAGGAACTTCTGGGGGAAAACCTGGAGGACCTTCTGGGGGAAAACCTGGAGGAACTTCTGGGGGAAAACCTGGAGGATCTTCTGGGGGAAAACCTGGAGGAAATAGTGGAGGAATACCAGGAGGCATACCTGGAAGAAATAATGGAAGAATACCAGGAGGAAATAATGGAGGAATACCAGGAGGAATACCTGCAGGAAATAATGGAGGAATACCAGGAGGAAATAATGGAGGAATACCAGGAGGAATACCTGGAGGAAATAATGGAGGAACTTCTGGTGGAAAACCTGTAGGACCTTCTGGGGGAAAACCTGGAGGAACTTCTGGGGGAAAACCTGGAGGAAATAGTGGAGGAATACCAGGAGGCATACCTGGAAGAAATAATGGAAGAATACCAGGAGGAAATAATGGAGGAATACCAGGAGGAATACCTGCAGGAAATAATGGAGGAATACCAGGAGGAAATAATGGAGGAATACCAGGAGGAATACCTGGAGGAAATAGTGGAGGAACTTCTGGGGGAAAACCTGGAGGAAATAGTGGAGGAATACCAGGAGGCATACCTGGAGGAAATAGTGGAGGAACTTCTGGTGGAAAACCTGTAGGACCTTCTGGGGGAAAACCTGGAGAATCTTCTGGTGGAAAACCTGGAGGAATACCAGGAGGAAATAATGGAGGAATACCAGGAGGAATACCTGGAGGAAATAGTGGAGGAACTTCTGGGGGAAAACCTGGAGGAACTTCTGGGGGAAAACCTGGAGGAAATAGTGGAGGAATACCAGGAGGAATACCTGGAGGAAATAGTGGAGGAACTTCTGGGGGAAAACCTGGAGGAACTTCTGGGGGAAAACCTGGAGGAACTTCTGGTGGAAAACCTGGAGGAACTTCTGGTGGAAAACCTGGAGGAATACCTGGAGGAAATAATGGAGGAATACCAGGAGGAATACCTGGAGGAAATAGTGGAGGAATACCAGGAGGCATACCTGGAGGAAATAATGGAGGAACTTCTGGGGGAAAACCTGGAGGAAATAGTGGAGGAATACCAGGAGGAATACCTGGAGGAAATGATGGAGGAATACCAGGAGGCATACCTGGAGGAAATAATGGAGGAACTTCTGGGGGAAAACCTGGAGGAACTTCTGGGGGAAAACCTGGAGGAAATAATGGAGGAATACCAGGAGGAATACCTGGAGGAAATGATGGAGGAATACCAGGAGGAATACCTGGAGGAAATAGTGGAGGAACTTCTGGGGGAAAACCTGGAGGAAATAGTGGAGGAATACCAGGAGGCATACCTGGAGGAAATAATGGAGAAACTTCTGGTGGAAAACCTGTAGGACCTTCTGGGGGAAAACCTGGAGGAATACCTGGAGGAAATAATGGAGGAACTTCTGGTGGAAAACCTGGAGGAACTTCTGGTGGAAAACCTGGAGGAATACCTGGAGGAAATAATGGAGGAACTTCTGGTGGAAAACCTGGAGGAACTTCTGGGGGAAAACCTGGAGGAACTTCTGGTGGAAAACCTGGAGGAATACCTGGAGGAAATAATGGAGGAACTTCTGGGGGAAAACCTGTAGGACCTTCTGGCGGAAAACCTGGAGAATCTTCTGGTGGAAAACCTGGAGGAATACCTGGAGGAAATAATGGAGGAATACCAGGAGCCATACCTGGAGGAAATAGTGGAGGAGCTTCTGGGGGAAAACCTGGAGGAACTTCTGGTGGGAAACCTGGAGGTATACCTGGAGGACCTTCTGGGGGAAAACCTGGAGAATCTTCTGGTGGAAAACCTGGAGGAATACCTGGAGGAAATAATGGAGGAACTTCTGGGGGAAAACCTGGAGGAATTTCTGGGGGAAAACCTGGTGGAACTTCTGGGGGAAAACTTGGAGAATCTTCTGGTGGAAAACCTGGAGGAATACCTGGAGGAAATAATGGAGGAACTTCTGGGGGAAAACCTGTAGGACCTTCTGGCGGAAAACCTGGAGAATCTTCTGGTGGAAAACCTGGAGGAATACCTGGAGGAAATAATGGAGGAACTTCTGGGGGAAAACCTGTAGGACCTTCTGGCGGAAAACCTGGAGAATCTTCTGGTGGAAAACCTGGAGGAATACCTGGAGGAAATAATGGAGGAATACCAGGAGGCATACCTGGAGGAAATAGTGGAGGAACTTCTGGGGGAAAACCTGTAGGACCTTCTGGGGGAAAACTTGGAGAATCTTCTGGTGGAAAACCTGGAGGAATACCTGGAGGAAATAATGGAGAAATACCAGGAGGCATACCTGGAGGAAATAGTGGAGGAACTTCTGGGGGAAAACCTGTAGGACCTTCTGGGGGAAAACTTGGAGAATCTTCTGGTGGAAAACCTGGAGGAATACCTGGAGGAAATAATGGAGAAATACCAGGAGGCATACCTGGAGGAAATAATGGAGGAACTTTTGGGGGAAAACCTGGAGGAACTTCTGGGGGAAAACCTGAGGGAACTAAAAACATAAATATCAACGATATTAAATTGAAAACTGGCTGATTGAAGTTGTTCTTAACTTTAAATATTACGACCTCGGAATAAGAAAATTATTACTAAATTTGCCTTGAAATTAGTCAACCTTGCTAATTAAACCAATTTAAAATAAAAAGATGTAAAAAAAAATGTTTTTTTCTTAAAGAGCCTTATGTTTTCTTTATTTATTGAATACATTTTTTACTGATTTCATAATATGTTTGCTACAATATACATGTATATTAAAAAAGAAAAGGTATTAATAAAGGTATTAATATATTTAAGTGCGCAGTAGTTTTAAACTATTAACTCAATATTAGGTTCATGGAACGAAAATTAGAAAAGGGAATGGGAAATACCCAATTATTGGGAACCGAAATTTTCAATTTACAAATGACGTACTTATCAATAATAATAACAGAAAACAATAATATATTACATAATGTGTATGAATGTAGGTCGGAGGGTCAAGCCAATGCATAATCTCGGATTCACAACATTTGAATTCTATATTGCAAATGAAATACTCCTTATCTCTTTGAGCCCCTAGTCTAGGCACAGGGCATTAGTTACGTATTCGGAACTGTTATCTCCTCCACAGTGGACCCCTAATTAGTTATTTGAAAATTCAAATTGATTTCCAAAATGGGCATGGAAAGGAATCTAACATTTTTGTACAAAAATTAGCTGGAACCATTTGTTTGAACTTTTGTGTATACGAAACAATTTTTCAGATATGTATAAAAAAAAAGAATTAATCTTAAAAAAATCTTTAAAAAAAAAAGTTTATATTGTCTATGTCCTATTTAAATTATATAGTGTTTAACAACAAGATTCCATTAAATACGCGAATATTTTTAAGTTTAAAAATAATAATTATAGGAGGTTTTTTTTGTGTAGAAAGTGTGCTTATGAAAATATTCGGTTAAGTAGAAAATTTCATATTTCGGTTTTGATTTCAAACAAGAAAGAAAGCAAACTTCGGCAAGCCGAAGTTCATATACCCTTGCAGCTATTGCATGAATTAAATACTTTAGAAAATATTTAAATTATAATTTACTTGAGTATATGCTGAAAAACATTGAAACTATGATGATTTGCAGCTCAATTATAAGATAGTTATTTTATATATTTTTATTATTTCTATGGGAGCTATATGATATAGACGTCCGATTTTGATAAAATTTAAACCATAATTCTGAAATAATTAAACATTGCTATATGTCGAAGAACTAAACAAAAAATTATAAAACAGAAAAGTTATAATTTTTTTTCATTTATTTTTCCTATTGTTCCTATGGGAGCTATATGCTATAGTCGTCCGATTTTGATGAAAATTAAAACATAATTCTGAAATACTTAACCATTACTATATCTCGAAGAGCTAAACAAAAAATTAAAAAACAGCAAAATTATAATTTTTTTTCATTTATTTTTCCGATTGTTCCTATGGGAGCTATATGCTATAGTCGTCCGATTTTAATGAAATTTAAACCGTAAATCGGAAATATTTAACCATTACTAAATGTCGAAGAACTAAACAAAAAATTAAAAAACAGCAAAGTTATAATTTTTTTCATTTATTTTTCCGATTGTTCCTATGGGAGCTATATGCTATAGTCGTCCGATCCGGCTCGTTCCGACTTATATACTACCTGCAATAGAAAGACAACTTTTGGGAAAGTTTCATGCAGATAGCTTTAAAACTGAGAGACTAGTTTGCATATAAACGGACGGACAGACGGACAGACGGACAGACGGACAGACGGACAGACGGACATGGCTAGATCGACTCGCCTAGTGATGCTGATCAAGAATATATATACTTTATAGGGTCGGAGATGTCTCCTTCACTGCGTTGCAAACTTCTGACTGAAATTATAATACCCTCTGCAAGGGTATAAAAACGTTGAGTTGTCGGTTGAAATTCCATTGAGACTTAGTGAGCTCTAGAAGTGCTTCGCCTTGAAATTAATCTAAATTAAATTAGACCAGAAACGGCTGCGTAAATAAACTGAAGCCTTTATAAGATCACTATGCCATTTTTTTTTTATCAAGTTTAAGAAGTTTTTGTGGTGGTGAGCATGAGAACTTTAACTGTTTGTTCCGAGATAGATGTTTTCAGTCTTATCGCACTGTTGTTATAGTGTTTCTTCATAATTACTTCAACTGCTGTTGCCCTGAAACGAAAAAAGGGAAAATGCCCATTTGTGCTTCTCTTTTGCCTTTTGTCTTTGTTCCATTTCTGTACAAACACACTCTTATCGGGGAATATATAACAAGTCTGAACATCATCTGCCTGCTTTCGTATCAGCAAAGAAATAATTTTTCCGCAATTAGTTAGTAACGATTGTAGTATTTTTGTATCTTCTAAACTAAGGAGATGTTCACACTCCACCTGAAAGTGTCTTGGTATCTTATTTTTATCTACTAACACAGAAATCGGAGCGACAAAAAAACAGCAGAAAAACATAAAAACAAAGCAAAGCAAAACAAAACAAAACCAGAGAAGAAACCGCGCAGAAAAACTTGTTTTGTAAACTTAACTTCCTGTATGCGAATCGCATAAGATCGCTTATGTATCCGTATCTGTATCTGTGACTGGATTGTGGATATTGCGGCCTGACTTTGTTGCATACAGACATGCAGTTCGGGAATCGTATATGGCAATGCAATTGTATTCACTTTCCATTTACTTTTGATTGTTCTTCGAAAAATGCCATTAAGATTCTAAAAATGAACTCGACGGCCCGACAAATGAATGAACTGAACGAACAATAAAAGTGCAAAACAACGAGAAAGACGGCAGTGGATGACTCACACAGAGCCGAAATCTCCCCGGCTCGAACAAGTTTCTTTATTTGGCTATGACAGGCTTTCTGGCTAAAACTCGGCCCGACTGACCTTTACCATTTTGGCCAAGAATCGCACGAAATAAATCTTGTTTTCAATTTTGTTTGCACTTGCTCGATCTTTCACTTCCACGCACTTGTTTGAATGTCGTCGCACTTACTTATTGTCTTATTTAATTACATCAGCCATCTCACCGCAATCTTCGGGGGTTCAATGTCCCAATGTCCAGACACAAAGATATAGAAAAGACTGTGAGAGTGAGGGTGTACATAGAAACTTGTGCGTGATTCGCATCTTCATGGACGGCTGAATAGTCGGTGGAATAACCCGCAAAGGGCGTCAGCACGGAACTAATGCCAAATGATCAAGATCAGGCCACAAATGATTTAAAATCAGAGACGCACTCTGAATAAAAATGAGCTTGTTTGCCTTGTTTTATGAAAATTCAATTAGCTGCGAATTTCGTGAGGAAAGTTTTCCATTAAACGAGGTCTTAAAAGCTTCTTCCATAATCCAACTCTCCATTTATCCCTTTCCACTTGGTGTTACCTTATGCAACAATCCACCTGTCAGTCCTGCATTATTTTTAATATTCCAAAAATGCGAATTCAACTCAATTTGAAGGGTTTCGGTGGCCGCTTTCACCGTTCAGACTCTGGACAGCCCCTTCTGTCGCAGACGAGAAACATTTCATAAATAATGTACATTTTTGGGACAAACTCAATTTATGTTATACCCAGGGAGTTAACTTTGCCATGTCGCCCTTTAATTAACTCACATTGTGCAATTCATTCGAGAGTTGAGATAATCATACGCTTGTTCGCCACAAAGAGGAAATATTTTCCTAGCTGTTTTGTATTTCCCGTGATAGATCCGATTAATGAAAACATTTCCGATTGTGCCCCAATTAGATGTGCAATTCAGCAATGGAATTATTAAAGCATGTTTAGTTTGCTGATCTCCAGAGTAAACATTTCCTGCTACATTCGGAGACTACCTCAACTAGAACAGGGTAAAATTTGTGTTTTGGCAATTGGCCAGAGCAGGGAAATAAATTGAGGTAGACAAAAAATGTAGCTCTTTCATCATACTTTTATCCTGGGACAACTGCAGCAGCATCTGTGACACCGAAACCTCGCTGGTCAAAAGAAAAAAGAGATGAAGCTAAAAAGAAAAAACAAATTTGAAAATGTGGAACATGGAAGCAATACGAGGCGGCATTTGTGGGTCACTGGGAGGGAAATTCAATAGTGGGATGAGGATAATTGATTAACTGGTCAGTGGGCAAAGTGGTGGTGCAGCCAGAAGTGTGCACCACCTAGTACTAATGGAAGCCCCTAAATCACACTTAAGCGGTCATCCATCCGACCATAAGAGTAAGCTCCCAAGTAAATCCTCAATTAGTTGCCATTTGCATGGAATCTCAGCTTGGCGACTGGAGGAAAACCGGAAAGCAGAAGCGCACAATCACCAGCATTAGCTTTTTGCTGATTTTCATATTCCTTTTGAGCCTCGAGACAATCGATAAATGGGTCCTTCCTCCTCCTTCTCTGGATGCGTGCGAGGAGGAGGAGGCGTGTTCAAGTGGCGTCGCCCCTTTTGTTGTTATAGCTGCTGGTCTTTGCCAGCGTCGCATATTAATGAAAGCAAAATCGTTCGGCGAAGTGAGCAACTGTTGGCTCTCACCCTGATGGTTATTGCAATGACGATGCCGATGGCGATGCCATTGGAATCTGTTTTGTATCTAGAGGATGGCAAAGCAGTTTCATTAGTCCTTCCTTGAACGGGTGGATTGTATGGTCTTGTCACGCATTTATCTTAAAAAAACGATGGGTAATAAATTGTAAAAAAAAACTATACGGACATCTGTTGTTCTCAAAACACAGTATCGTGTCACGAACTGAATTTCGCTGATACACAGCCAAAAAATATAATCTTTTAATTATACAATAATTTGAATTTAAATAAATTCAACTAGAGTATACGAAATTTAAAACCAAACTTAATCGGTTTACATATTTTATATATTTTATAATTAATTTGATTATGTTGTGTTCCGATTTGAATAATAACACGATCAAATGATAATACGATGATGTCAAATGACGAACTACCTTTATTCTGCGTAGTGGGCATCTTTTTATACATACTTTGAGTGTGATTATTAAGAGATTATGCAATAATGGCATAGTTTGCATAGGAATACTGAATTCAGAAAAGAACTTTAAAGTAAGGATGTTGCAATAGATTTTACAATACATATCAGTTTATGTTAACAAAAATTATAGTATTTTATAAGTTTACATATGAAAATGTGTGTGATTCTTAGCCTGAGACCAATTTTCTTGAGATTTAAAGTGTGATCCTTTGAATAGAGCCAGTTTTCTTGAGCTTTAAAGTGTGAGGATTGTGACATGATTGCATTTCGAATAAGGACATCCCCCTAACTAAGCCATGCAGTCATCACGCTTACATGCACAAGTGGCTGAGTGTAGAGCAAGCTTTTAATAGAAGACGGCGTCAGAAAGCATCCTTCTCAGCTGGCGGATGTCTGGACGGGTGGCAGTCAAAGCGGGTGGGTAATGGAAATGGAGGTACTAGGTGGGTGGGCGGTTGGGTTACCGCCTCTCGTAATTATCTTTTTCGCCCTTTTTCGCTCCATCTCGGTCGCATGTTGCAGCGACTCTTCTGTTTGAGCTCAATTAATGTGGCAATGGGGCGAGCATTTCAGGAAGTAATTGTCGGCGTCATCAACTGGGGACTAGTGCTCCATGGGGGATGGTGTGTGTGTGTGTGTTTGTGTGTGTGTAAAAGTCCCTAATGACACTTCCGTGGAACTGAACTCTGAACTCTGAAAGTCAACTCCAATGCTAAGCCATTTCTCCCGCTTTTTATTCCAGGATATGCCTCAAAGCTGATCGATTGACCGAGTGAACGATTGCGCCGCCAGTTGGTTAAATGCTAACATAATACATAATGTCGGCGAAGCACATCGAGCAGTATACGAATCCCTCCTTCGAGCAGGAGTCCGACCCGCCGCCTCCCCCAGGGGGCGTGGCAGATGTGGGAACGAGTAACACCACGAACAGCAGCAGCAGCACCAGTGGCAACAAAGCCAACGATGCCGGCACCGAAAATCGCAAAGGTCACAGGTGAGGAAATCGCTGCAGTTGCTAGTTTCCAGTTGCCAATTGCCAGTTTCCATGTATATAGTTATAATTATATATGTATTATTTTGGAGACATATTAGGGACCACCCCCTCGGTGCAAAGAAAGTGAAATATGTACTATTTACCTAAATTGACACTTGCCTTGGGTAAACAAACACAAAATGTACTTCCCTATATACTCCGCCCCATATCAATAATTAGCTCTGGGAATGGGGGGCACGTTTAGCGGCACGTGGGTGAGCCGGATGGGGCACTAATAATTCATAAGACTGCAGCGCCTTCGCGCCCCGTCAAAACCAATCGATAGCAGTCGATTACGATGAGTCGGTCAAGTTTGAAATATTCAAAGGCAGGAAAAGGAAAGCGTGACAAACAAGTCCAGGGTGAGCACGTGAACTTAAAGGCTCGTCGACGAGCCCGAATCGCATCGATTCGATACGGCAGTCATCCGCGTGCACTGCCAGTCGAAGGAACTCCGGAAGAGTTGTCGAACGGAGAACGGGAAGTCCTGTAGTCCTGAAGTCCTGAGAAAAAGGCCAAAGGGAGAGTAGCCAGTAGAGCATTTGTGGTTGCAGCTGTGCCAAGTCAAGTAAGCGGTGTGGCAAGGAGAGATAGAATGTGGCCTAAAGGCAGAGGCATTGGCAGTGGCAGAGGCAGAGGCAGTGTGTTGGCCAACAGCCCAAAGAGCTTGACATTGAGTGGGCCTGGCGTCCTCGCCCTCGGGCGTCCTTGGACCGTCCATCGCCAAGTTCTAGGCCGTCTTTAGACAGGCTGACAAAAAAGACACAAAATGCTAGAGCAAGGCTGAAACATTGAATACCCTGGGCAAAGGCGAACTAGGTCCCAATTTTACATAACATTGAAAGAAAATTTCTACCAAAAACGAAAAAATTAACTACTTAAATAGTGTTTAAAACATAAGTTTAATTCGCCATATATTACCTAACTGGCTTGATTTAAAAGCTTTTTCTTAAATACAAATAATCCAAAAATATTTTAAAATTTAGTAGATTATAAACCTTTTAATTAAAAATAAAAAATTTTGCAGACATTTTACTTAGTTTTATTTCTAATCAATTTTTGTGACTCAGCTTTGAGAAACACATTTATAAAATACCTTTTTAGTTAATTCTTTTATAACTTGACATATGACAAAATGTTTTATCTTATACAACAAATAGTAAAAAGTTAAATAAAAGTTTAAATCTAGTTTTTGATACAAAGAGCGCACGTGTGGTGTTGAAAACGCAATCTACCAGCTTTATTTATAGTCGCTTGAGATAAAGATAAACGAGCTAATCGAATATTTCCATACAACAAAATTGCCATACAAAGCTTGTCACAAAATGTTTGGAAATTAGGCTAAAATTGAACGTTTCTTATAAGTTTTTGGCTTGGGGTATGGCATAAACCCAGAAAAAATGCAAAAAATCAGAGCTTATTGTCAAATTTTCCTTGTTGATCTGACCACGGAAATAATCTCACTTGCAGGCGGCAGGAATCGATGTACCAGATGACCGGCCTCTACTCGGAGACGAATAGCGGCGACGACAGCAGTATAGATGCGGCCCTTGACCTGGATAATCAGCCCCATGCCACATCCCACCTGGCCGGTGATCATATGCCGCCGGCAGGTGCGTCAGTGGGATTGGGAGTGGGAGTTGGAGTTGGAGTGGACAGCGTGACAGTGAAATGCCACAGTCGACAGGCGTCGGCGGGGGGCAAGTGTCCGGTGGATCAGGAGGAGGACTTCGACGAGGAGCAGTTCCGATCGGGCGATTGCGGCATCCTCAACTGTCGTCCGTACGGCATCCAGCGTTTCGCTCGCATCAAAATCTTTGTCCTGCTGCTCTCGCTGCTGGTGATGATGCAGCAGGCCCTGTGCTCGGGCTACTTCAACTCGGTGATCACCACGATCGAGAAGCGCTTCGAGATCCCCTCCAGCTACTCCGGCCTGATAGCCTCCAGCTACGAGATAGGCAACGTAATCACCGTGATCTTCGTCAGCTACCTGGGCAGCCGGCGGCACATCCCCGTCTGGATTGGAATCGGAGCGGTGATCATGGGCATCGGCTCGCTGGTGTTCATGGTGCCGCACTTTACGGGCGAGCCGAATCCTGGCATTGCGATTGTGAACAAAACCAGCGATAACATTTGCCGCAGTGCATTGGTGAGGGAACAGGACATGGACCTGGGTCGCCTATCCAGCGGACTATCCAACCAACCGCTGGCACCGCACACGCTGCGCGAGGACAACTGCCTGGAGGGCAAGGCCTCCACCACGGGACCCGTGCTGCTCTTCGTGCTCGCCCAGCTGCTCCTCGGCTGCGGTGGCAGTCCGCTCTTCACCCTGGGGACCACCTACGTGGACGATCACGTGCGCACGGAGAGCTCGTCGATGTATATCGGCTGCATGTACAGCATGGGCGCATTTGGACCCGTCGTCGGCTTCCTGCTCGGCGCCTACCTGCTCTCCTTTCACATGGACTCGCTCTCCTCCACCATCATATCAATAAGTGAGTAATGTAACCTTTTTCTTATTTGCATGATATGCTTTAAGTAGATTTTAAACTAAGAATCCATATGGAGTCTTACAATTTAAAACCTTTTTTTTAGTTTAGTATTAAGATTTGACCACTAAAAACAGACAAAAATCTAGATAACTGTAAAATGATAAATTTGTTGGTGCTTTTCACAAGTTTGTCACAGTTTGTGAAACGTCACTGGGAAATATATATATTATTATAAATTTATAAATCCAAAACAGCTTAGAGAATGGTGAGAAATGTCTCAAATGAACAAAACACAACTGTCCTAAAAAATCTATGGAAGTAAATATTTTTATTTAATTTAAGATTACAAATTAAGATTTTTAAATTTATATTAAAATGTGCATATATTCGATTCAGCTTTAGTTAAAAAGGCACATCAAAGACGACCTTATAAAAGACTAAAAAAAACTTATTCTCTAAAATCGTACTAAAATGTGTTTACCATAATATGTATAACCAAACAAACGAAACAAATTTTAAATTAAAGATAGCGCAAATACTATGCCCAGAAAAGCCTAATTTATTATAAATATATACGGTTGGGCCTGCAGAAAACTTCTGTAAAAGAGTAAACCATTTTATAGTGATTTTTATTCTAAATTAAGAATCCAACAAAATATAAATACAAAAACACATTATAAATGTATTGATGCCCCATCAGTTTGAATATATAAACTTATTTTAATAGTCCACGAAACAAAACTATTTTTTCTACATATTAACTACAAATATATTGAAAAATAAAAAACTAATTCATATAAATCAAAATTTATGTTTATAACTAAATAGTGAGTGAGTCAGAACAAATCTTTTTAAAAGAAATATAAAGGCAGGCACTTAAATCTTATTGACTATAGGTACTTAACCTTTAGTTTAGACAGCTTCTTAGGAACCGGAAACATTTCGGTTTCTTGAAGTGATTTTATTGCTACCATACTTGCAGGCTGCATAACAACTTGAACTTCATTGAACGTATTGATTTCTTGCAGGTCCCGGCGACAGACGTTGGGTGGGAATGTGGTGGGGCGGTTTCCTGCTGTGCGGAGTCATTCTGCTGGTGGTGGCCGTGCCCTTCTTCTCTTTCCCCAAGGTGCTGGCCCGCGAAAAGAAGAAGATCCGGAAGAGCAGCGTGGTGCAGCCGGCATTGCCAAACAACTCGGCGGCCACCGTGGCGACCGATGAAATGGGCAAGGTGAAGAAGCTCGAGATTGTGGCCGTGACCAGCAAGGAGGACGAATCGCAGCCGCCGCCCAAAGTGGACACTGGCTACGGCAAGGACATCAAGGACATACCGCAGTCGATGCTGCGCCTCGTGAAGAACCCCGTTTACATTGTGACCTGCCTGGGCGCCTGCATGGAGCTGATGATCGTCTCCGGCTTCGTGGTCTTCCTGCCCAAGTACCTGGAGACGCAGTTCAGCCTGGGCAAGAGTCAGGCCAACATCTTTACCGGTTCGATCGCCGTGCCTGGGGCGTGCATCGGCATCTTCCTCGGCGGCTGCATCCTGAAACGGTTCCAACTGAAGCCCAAGGGCGCCGTCCAATTCGTCCTGATCACCAACGTCATCTGCCTGGCCTGCTATGCGATGCTGTTCTTCCTCGGCTGCGACAACCTCAAGATGGCCGGCACCACAATCCCCTACTACACCAGCAACAAACAGGGCTCCACGCTGGAGCAGCCCTTCCAGGTCAACCTGACGGCCGCCTGCAACTTTGGCTGCGAGTGCCTCACCAGCGAGGTGGAGCCGGTGTGTGGCAACAACGGGCTCACCTACTTCAGTCCCTGCCACGCTGGCTGCACGGCCTTCTCATCCAGCTCCAACTACACCAACTGCGCATGTAAGTGAAGTCTTTGCTAGCTACAATTCCCAATATTTTAATTTCCAAAGTTTATTAGTGACAATTCATTTTAATTGCTATACTATTTTTTAGTTAATTGCTATACCATAATTTAGTGTAGCTGTACATAAAGTTGACTAAATACAGTTTTATTCTAGTTGTAAACAAATGAATTAGCAATAGCGTAATAATAGATTTTTTAATAGATTCTTTAATAGATTTTTTAATAGATTTTTCAATATATTTTTTAATAGATTTTTACGTTGATTATACAGTAACCGATTACTACAGTACACACTTGAATTAACCATAGCTTAAGAAAACATTTTTTAATATAATTTTACGTTGATTACTATCCATAATGTCAATTTATAAAATATTTATTAAACGGTATTTGCATTAAGCAAAACATCTTATAGTTAAAATTATAACAAATACAGTTCACACTTGAATTAACCATAGGTTAATAATACATTTTTTAATATAATTTTACTTTGAATACTTTCCATTATTGTTTGAATTACTTAATGTCAATGTTTAAAGTATTTATTAAACAGTTTTTGTTTTGAATAAAAACATTTTATAGCTGACGTAGTGACGTAATCGAAAAATTATCTAGACATAAATTTAATTTTATTTTCCTTTTTTAATTGTTGTCTACACTTAATTAGTATTTAAAAAATTTATATATTTTATTTATTATATTTTCCAGGTGTTCACGCCAACATCTCGAGCAGCATTTATCGGGGGGCTGGTGGCAGCCAGGCCCAGGCGCTTAGTGCCAACGAGAACTTCGCCGAGGTGACGGTGGTGCCGGTGGCCACCGCTGGACCATGTGCCACGCCCTGTCGCACCATCTACCCGTTCCTCATACTGCTGTTCTTCATGACCTTCTTGGTGGCCTCCACTCAGATGCCGCTGCTCATGATCGTGCTGCGATCGGTGTCCGAGGAGGAGCGCTCCTTTGCCCTGGGCATGCAGTTTGTGATCTTTCGACTCTTCGGTTACATTCCGGCGCCCATCCTCTTTGGTAATCTCATTGACTCCACCTGCTTGCTTTGGAAGTCGTCCTGCGGCGAGAAGGGAGGTCGCTGTCTCATCTACGACATTGAGAAGTTTCGATACAAGTATGAATAAATCATGTGGATGTGTAGCTTATTTATTATATCTCTCTTTTATAAATAATTTCCAGATATGTTGGTCTCTGTGCGTCTGTAAAGCTGGTTGCTTTGTTTATCTTTATGGTGGATTGGTGGTTGGTGCGAAGGCGCAAGCAGCTGGAAAAAATGAAGCCCCTTAACGCAAGCGATCCCATCATCGGTTCCATCATAAGTCTAGACAAGCGTAAGTTTAATATTCAATTAATGCTTTCAGGTTTGTTTGTAGGGTGATTTAACTGCATAATTGCATTCCAATTTAGTTAAGTTATATTCGAATTTGCTTAACACTAAAAAGCGATAATCAAAAAGAAAAGCAAGTCCAGAAATTATTGAACATTTATAATTTATTAAATAATTCAATTATTAAACCTAAAACAAGAGACAATCGGTTTTATGTTAAAAATATTTTCTAAAACGAATGGGGCTTTAACTTGTTGAATTTTGATTGACTCCGGATAAAATAATTTGTTTAATTAATTACTTTACCATTTTTCAGTATTTGAAGAAAAGCTTTCTGGCGCCGAGCCGCCCACTGCATTTGTTGGAGGCGGCGGAGAGCTGATCATACCCACAGAGATACTTCGTCATTCGCGCAACGATTCGCGCACCATGCAAATGGACTACTGGTAAGTATTTTTTAATATTTAAGTTTAAGAACTTTTTACTTAGATAAATTACATTTTCTGCAGCTACGACAAGTGCGGTCATGTGGTGACGCCGGCGAACACGTGCAACCAGCCACAGACCAAGTCAAAGAAGCACTTCCGAAGCGCCTCGTGTGATGTGAAGATGATCAAGAGCTTTGCACGGGACCACAACTCGTCCACAACGGGGCCGGCGGACGCGGCTGGTCAGGATGCAGGTGGTGCAAGCAGTAAATACAAGAATCTCAAGAAATTCCAGGCGCACACACGCAACCACTCGACGGATATGCACGATCCCAGTCAACCAATCCGATACATTCAGAACCAGCTCCGGCCGCAGGACTGTGCCGAGGAGGATGATGACGACGAGCTGACCACCGGCTGTGGTCACTTTGTCAAAAAGCACTCGCGGAACCACAGCTACGATCAGATCTACATGCCCAACAACATACGCTTTGATGCGGACTTCCTGCGTCATCCCCATGCACACCACAATCCGAAGAAAAATGTAAATGTACTGAAGAACGTGGTGACTGATATGGGCAAGCTGAAGAACTCAAATGAAATGGAGGCCGGTGGAGCTGGATCCCGTGGTCATTCCCGCAACAACTCCAAGGACTTGAACACCAAAATTCCCAGTGGAACACCAGTGAACAGTGGCTCTGGGCCGGGGGCATCCGAATCCAGCACAACGGGTCTGAGTGTGCTGCGGCATCGTCGCACCAACTCCAAGGATCTGAATTACCAAGTGCTGCCCGAAACTGCTCCCGCTAGCTCCTTGGCAGGGCATCCGCATCCACAGCACACGCGGAACACGTCGCACCACAAGATTCAGATCGATGACGATCGCAACGAGCTCATCAATGACATCGATGACGAGGAGGAGGAGCGCTCCAATTGTGCTTAGTCTGATGCCAAGTAGTTTAAGCTAGGATTATTATCGGTTTGTGGCAGCAGCATTCCTGGCGGCAAACGCCTCTTCGTGTTATCTGTGTGTGTTGCCCTACGTTTCCTCACGACTCAGTGACTCAACTCTCAGCTGCTCATTGTACTTACGACCGAGTGTTCAAATCTATTTTCCCCCTAAAAAGGCACCTGAAAATAGAAAACTTTTGATATATGCAACATTCAGCCAGAGTTCGAATCCGAATCCGAAACCGATACGAATACGAATACTTGCAGCTAATAGTGGTTACGTAACCAGGCGATAGAATAGAAATCCTAGCAGGCAACTAGCATATTTTAGAATAGGCGTAGATCGTTGTGATAGGAATATTTTGTATTGTATTTTTAGTGGAGCGTAGGATCCGTGAAAAGTCGATTAGGCGTTCAAACTGCAAACTCTATATGTTTCGCTTTACACCCACTATGTGCAATCTCGGTTTCGAAGTGAGACGATTGACTGAGAAACAGAGAAAGAGACAGAGAAGGGAACGAGAAACGAATAGCAAATTACAATGTTTTAATAATCCGAACATGTAAACAATTGTCAATGGAAATTGTGCTGTGAAACAATGTGTGAGTATAGAAAACAAAAAAATTAACAAAGTCGTTGGATAGGAAGGAATAAAGTGGAAACACGCTGAATGTAACTCTTATGCAATACATTATTTAGAGAATCTTTGTGGACAAACACGCCCACACATTGTGCATCCAATAGAAGGGTTCGAATGAGGAATAGATCTAGACTTGTTTTACTACAAAATCCTAAATCCTAAATCCTAAATTCCCTGTTTTAATCGTAGCGAGAAGTGCAAGCCTAACATAGATTTTAAAACCGAATGATGTACTTTAAATGCGATAATGCCTTAAAAATATCAATTAATTATACACGCAGATAGAATCAGTATCTCAACTGAAATGGAAATCGATTTCCTGCGCACTGTCCGAGTGCAAGACCCCAGTAGCCGTAAGTGATGCAATCTAGGTTAATTAGTACCAACTAATTCTATGTTTACACCAGCCAGCCACATACAGTAGGAACGGAGGCAGAGCGCTCGCCGAGCACTAAATAGATACATCCATATAAATAAATATATGTATACAATTCTACATTGATAAGTACCTACGCGTAGCTAAGAATTCGTATCGGGATATGTGTTTGTACAACATAACTTATACATTATGGAAGAGCGATTTTAATACAGACCACAAGAGAGAATGTGAGTCTTAGGTGCAAAAGATCATATATATCATATATGTGTATATGCGAAAAGTATGTTTAAGGAATACATATTTTTACTTAGAGAAAATATTGCAAATAAACTAAATAAGGACATGTATGAAATGAAAACAATGAGACTCCTGAAAACAAAAAAACAAAATAAACAATTATTGTAATAGACAAATGAAAAGTTGCTTTTATTTGAAATACGAATTATTTGTTTAAAATAAACTGAATTGGCGCCAATGCAAGTGAGTATTTGATTTCGGAACTACATTAATGGTGTGACCTTATCAGTTTCTCGTTTCTTGTAGCCATGACTCAAACCTAAAGTAGCTGCACTTAAAAAAAATGTTTGACTAAATATACTTATAAATATTTAATATACAAATTAAAATAGTAAATTAATAATATAAATCTAAAATTTAAAAATATTAATCAGTAAAATTCATTCTACCACCTACCAAAAAAAAAAAATGAAGTTTACTGACATGAGCTGGAAAAAATGTGTTACATTTGTTGTTTTTTTTAGCTTTTATACATTTAAAAAGTTGTACTTTTTCGGCAAAGAGTTTACATAGCTTCCTTAATTTATAGCACGATTTAAAAACAATTTCAAGATCAATTTTGACGATTTTAAGGAGTTACAAAATAATTGTTTAGAATTGTTCAACAGGTATATTTAAAACTGTGAAGGGAAAAAATGGTTAAGAGAAAACAAATTTTTATACAGGTTATTAACAATTAAAAACCATTAAATAAATTTAAATAAAATTTATTGCAAAGAAACTGCTGAAATTTACTCGTTAAAATATATACAAGTATATATTGATATTTTTCATGCTGGCGACAATTTGAGTAAACTAATTAACTAAACTATAATGTTATTTATTATTGCAAATATAAATGATCGAATTCGGTGTTAATAATTAATCGAATAATAAAGCATTTAACAAGGTAACTCTGACAGCCTTACCATTACAAACCTGCGCGCTGATAGCTTATCTTTACTGTTTTCAGCAACAAAAGGTTTCGCAGAAGCTGAGTAATTTGTCCACTTGAAAACTAAAGTTGTAGGAAAAGAACTAATGGAAAAGCGTTCCACGTCCACCATGCAGGTGCTCTATGCAGAGCTGGCAGCCGGTGCGTATAAGCAATATTATTGCGTATACGCAATGTACTGATTACCTTTTACAGCAAAGGCTAAAAGTGCCCAGTTGGAAGAGGAAATCATATTACTACGCCATCGTCTGAATCGTGCGTCCTCCAGCCACGGCACCAATGCGGCCATGCATGTGGAGGCCAAGATCATGGCCTTTCAACTGGAGGAGGAGCGCGATCGTCTGCTCGACACGTTGCAGCAGCACAAGAAGAAGTACAACAAACTACACGACGCCTATCTGGAGAAGGTGAAACGCTGCCGTGCCCTGGAGGAGATGTTCAAGCGGCAGAAGACACTCACAGGCTTGGTGATGAAATCCTCACTAGATCAGCGACATGCAGGTGGGTTGAAGATCAGCTTACTGCTTTAGAATTAAACAAAATGTAAACCTCTCTAGAGCAACAAATGATGTTAGAGAAGCGACAGTCAGCGCAAAGTGATCTCAATGAAGTGCAAGAACTGAAGGCCAAAGTGGAGAAGCTGCAAAGAGCCCTGGACGAGTCATATGATATAATCGATGAAATGGATTTCGAACTGGAAAGCGTAAGTGCACCAAAAAACTCAAGTTTGCTTAGATAATACTGTCCCGTTTTTAAGGTGGAGCTACTGGAAATGCAAAACCAAAGTTTGCGCGATGAGCTGTCTGCCTTAAAATCGAGTTCAGAGACAGGAGCCACCAGCTTTGCAGCTTCAGTTCCAAACGATGATGATCCTCCGCCCAAATACGATGACGATTATCCCGGGGCTCATCACAAAGCAATGCTTGCAAGTCGCAACTCTTCCAGCAGTGAATCCGGACCAAAGGATGACGATGCCGATGCAGAAACCATGGAGAGAGCAGCTCTAACCCATAGCGTATGTTGAAACTGGGATCTTAATGAGTTTATAAAGCCCTACGAATTCTGATTTTCAGTTAATCCAAACTGCTGAAACGGAGAGCAATGCCCTGAGACGAGAACTGTTGAGATCCCGCTGCCAAAGAACTATACGTAAAAAGTTGGAAGATGGAAGTGAAGATGCCGATTAGGCAAAGTTACAGGTCTCAAGCCACTCAATTAAATCCGAACTCAAGCACAAATAAAATTTCAACCAATAGATCATAATGAGCAGTACCCAAGCTTAGGCTGATGAAACCTATCACTAGTCATATGTCTGCTTATTCCGCTGAACTAACCCAGATTCGTAGCCAGCTACGCCTAACAAGTGCACATACCAGAGATTGCTTTTAAGGTTCGACAAACACGCTCTGCGGCTGCATTAAATCAAAACTTTTGAGATAGAGTAACCTGGTTTTTCGGGCTGCGCGCCAAAGGAAACTCGTCTAATGGCGGCGATTAATTAAAAAATATGCGTTAATGGCATCGAACGGGTTGTGGCCAGATGGTAAGCCAAAGGATTTGGCCTCTGAGCCATATGAAGGTTCCAACCCCCCAACACTTGCCCCTATTCCATCTGCCATCCGAGTGGCGCGTTATCCATTAAAACATGACAATTATTTTTATGACTTAATGCAATCCGGAGGCCTTGTTGCCCAATGCCTAATGTTGCAAATTATTGACAAAGTAAATTAATCTACACATTTGTTGGTCAGACCAGACAAACTAGCGCGACACCTCTATGATCACTAAGTTCTCTCACTTGAGGCACATTCATTTGGGTGCATATTGCAGTTGAGCAGTGAGAAAAAATGTATATCTTTATTGAGACCCCTATGAAGCTAAGCCTACATGTTTATTACATGAAAAAAATTAATAAAATAAATAAAATAAAATTTTTTATATAATATATATTCGAAGCTTTTTAATATCGAAAAAAGAAAGTATGTTGAATCTGCTTCATAACTTCGCAGTTTAAAGTTATATTAAAAGGTATTTATCCAGATTTAAGACATTGAAATTAAACTTTAAGCAATTTCGAATTCAATTTAAAGGCCTCTTGTTTATAAAACCCAGTTTCTTTCTATAATTAAGAACTAATTTATTTACATTTTTTGGTTTCTGTGTGGGCATATTGCTTGGACTAGTGCGAGCCACTATTTGCATATTTCTTGTTTAATTATAATTATTTCGGGGCTCACTTAATCAGCGCGCTCCACTTGGCGCTCCGGCAATCTTGTTTGGGAGGCGCGTGCCGAAGGCAACACGACACTTTGGGTGGATTGCCACATCTGAGTTGGATTGTGGTAATGAGTGGCCACTCCGCGGTCGTATATAAGCAGGCGAGGACTACCCAGATTAATTACTTCGATTCCCAGCTTCGTCGAGTGCATTTCAATACCCAAAGAGTTCTAAGAGACCCCAAAAAAAAAACAGAATGCTGCGAAAAGTGAGTGGATGAGTGAGGAGTTTGTTTATTGAGATTATTATCTATTCAAGTGGTGTCTCCTTTTTGTAGGCCACCTATCTGTTGTGTCTGTGCCTGGCCAGCGCCGTGTGGTCCATTGAATTGCATCCGGAGCCGGATTACGGCCCGGTGGCCTACGAGTTTCAGTGGGCGGTCAACGATCCACACACCGGCGATGTCAAGAGCCAGAAGGAGTCGCGCAAGGACGACAAGGTCGAGGGCGTCTACGAGCTAATCGACTCCGATGGCTATCGTCGCATTGTCCAATACAAGGCCGACGATCACAACGGCTTCGAGGCGATTGTCCACCGTGAGCCGACGGACATCAAGATTCCGCTGCCTGAGCCGCCCAAGAAACTGCTGGCTGCCAAGATCCTAGCTCCAGTGCTGCCGGTGGCTCCGCTCGTTCACTACGCTGCCCCCAAGGCGATCGTCAAGCATGAGTTGTCCTCCGGAAACTATGTCTCGGTTTCCGGACCCACAGCCCAGTACAAGTACTAAAAGGATCTAGACTTCAGCCTCACAAACCCATCAGGATCCCCGCCTCGACCTGGGAACGCTTCATTGCCATACATCATAATTAAATTATATTAAGGCCATTAATTGTACATACAGACAGCATACATACATTGATAACTAACTATAAAGATGCATCACATTCAATCTGTTCGCAGAGGAACACAAAATGGAAAGAGTTTTTTAAATGGAAATGTTGTAGATGGTGATAAATCGGTGGAGTTGCTAATAGAGTCCTGCTCAAGTGAACTTCTAAGTGAGAACTTTTAAGTTTACTTGAAATGTAAGTGCAAGTTGTATCATTTGCGAAGCCATTTTTCGAGATTAAAAGGGTTAAAACCTAAACACACCTTAACACAAAACCAATGTCATTATATTAATTGCTGAATGCACTTTTAATAATTATTTTAACAAGTAGGAGGCACTCACTTACTTGACTTGAAAACTCTATTGACTTTTTCTCATTTTAACTGTGTACTCTATTACTTGCTTTTTTAAAACAAGTTATTGAACAACAAAGTCAAGAAAAGAAACTTATATGCTTGTAAGGTAGTTGACTTGAACTCTATCACTTTATTTAAAAAAATATTCTTGTTTACTTATTATATTATATTGAAAGAATTTTCAAAGATAAAGCATAATATTTTTAAAAATTAACAATTGTTGTACTGTTTTGTAGAGCAAAATAAAGACGAAAGCGCTGTGCATAATAATTAATAATCGCAGCAGAGATAAGACACATTCTATCACCTCATAGACAGAGCACAAAAAAAGGTATAAAAATATAAAGATAAAAAATTTTGAATGAAAGCTAAATGTGAAATGCTTAATTCTACTTAAATTTTTTTTTAGAATGGCTTTCGGCAGTAGTTGCACATTAATTTCACCGATTGATGTCTCATAACAAGATGCGTCACGGCTCAGGTGGCTGCGAATTTTGGATAAGCAGAAACTAATGCTATCGCCGCCAGACGAGACCTGATCCCCAAGACTCTAGATGACTATAATCTCACGTACCTGCTGTCACTTGGGGGCGTCCAATTACCAGTCGCAGTCGACGTCGCCGATGGCGGTTCTATTGGATTTTGGCTAATGCTCGGACCAAAGATCAATGGAGCATCAGTGCGAAAATGGTCGGCTCACTGGAGACACGAAAACTTCTGGCCGTTTGGCTGGTGACCCTTGGCTTTTGCCTGGGAGGCTCGAAGGATGCTGATGCTGATACGGATGCCAAGTGGATGGCCCCGCTCAAACAGTATGGATACACGGCCAAGCATTTGAAGAACAAGGTGGAACACGGCGATTTCACCACCTTCGAGCTGGGCACGCCCAACTACCAGATCCTGAACCCCCAGGACGAACCGGAGTACATCACTGCGGATCAGCCGCACTACCAGGAAATGCTGAAACGACTGACCAGTGCCCAAAGTGGCACGGATACCATCGATGTGGAAATGGCAGGGCGTACGGACACCGTTCGAGTGGCTCCCGATCAGCCGCAATCGGAAAAGCCTTCTGGCATCCAAGAAGTTGAGAAATCACAGGATGAACTGGCACCTAATCGCAGTGATAAACTTAAGAAACGCAGCTCTATTCAAATCGGACTTAAGCGAAAGAAAATCATGGATTATCAAACAGCGGATCAACAAGTTTATTTCCCGGACATTCAGGTTTACTCCGGAGCCAGACCCTTCCAAAGTCGTGTGGCCAATCTTCATTAAACATGGGTTCGGGCAAGTGCTGAGACTCGCGTTGCTTGATTTGACCTTTATTTATTGTTTTGTTTTTAGTGAAAGCACACTTAAATGAATAAATAGCTGCCGGTAGTTTGAACGATTATAATTATATATGTTTTTGGGTTCAGAATAAGATTTGGGCTTAGTTTGTAGAATTTTAAGCTTAAAAAAAGCAATATATATCTTTTTGGCAAACAACTTTGAAAACTAATTTCCCATTTTTAGTTAACTAATTATTTGTAAATTCAAAATTTAAATTCAAACCAATTGTACTATTTTAAATATAGTAATTAAATATTTAATATTAAATTAATATTTAAATGTTTTTTTATTTCGCACCTTATTTGAATACCAATTATTTTCTAGCTGTTGATTACTTCTGAGCTTTCGTTTTCTTTTTTTTTAGTTATGTAAACAATTTTAAATTTTGTAAAAATAAGCCATTCTCTTTATTTTATCAAGCGAAATTTAATAATTATGAAAAATTATTATTTTAAAAAATGTATTTATCAATAAAAACCGGTAAGCGTTCAACTCTCGAGATGTATAATAATGATCTACATTGCATTATCGCATGTCAAAAATGTGCTTATCCGTAACGTACGTGTAGACCTACAGTGCCACGAAATTACAGCCAAAAATTGATAAGTTTATCGACCACAGACAATGATATCTGATCTAGGCCAAGACCCAGAAATTATAAATCCCCAAACTGTTGGCTAAGCTTGTGCAGAACCTAAAAAAAGCCCATCGAGTGCGGAATGGGCACAGCTTGATTTTTAATTCCGTTGTGGAATTTTGGCTAAAAGTACTGCAAGGATTTATAAAATGTAAAACCATTGCAGTAATGTAGATCCCAAATTTTGAATAAAGGTACTGCAAGGATTTCCATAATTAAAACCATTGCAATAATGTAGTTCCGGAAAATCTTATTGATATTTAAGAATATACTATTATTAAAGAATATATAATATAATAATATAATACAGAATTTATAATATTAAGCAGGTTGTCCTCTATTATTGTGGGTGAGCATGAGTTCTTCCGATTGAGACTCAAAGGTTAATGTCATGAAGCCATGAACCAGAGGTCATAAGAAGATATGTTTGTTAGCCATGTTCGCGACTCGATCGACTGTTGTCGAGCACTTGATGCTATCGACGAGTGCGGGCAGAAATGTCTGAATGTGTATTACGGAAGCACCGGAATCTGGTGATTGTGATTGTGTGGCAGTGGCCCATTTTCATTCCCATTCCCCGGGCCCATTCCGGAGCACCGCTCCGCACCGCACCGATCCATGGGGCTTTCCATTTGGAACGTGACGCGGTCAACGCTTCCGCGACCCATTTGTTCGGCGTTGTAAATAAGTGCCGCGGTGGATGAAGAAGCAGTTCTCGGCCAGCGCAGCGTATTTAAGAGCTATTCAGCGAATTGCATGAAAGAGTTTCGCACGCGACCGACCAACAGCCAACAAGTGCCATCCGACGGCGATCCGGGACAGAAATTCCAGTAATTGTGGGCAAATTGATAGCGATCGAGGGAGAAATTCAGTGGAAAGGTAAGAACTGGGTCAATTGATTGGTAGCGATTGCCAATAAATACAGTTCTGACCCATTTATTGTGCCCCCTTTCAGATGTTCGAACGCAGCAGTTTGTTGTTTGTGGCCGTGCTGATGTCTTCGACTCTGTTCACACAAGCCCATTTTCCGGAGTATTGTGCGGAATGTGAGCAGGAGGTGTGGGAGCAGGTGCCGTGCAGCGAAGTGTCCACCACTATCTCGCCGCCGATCACTGACCCCGCCAGCAGCAGCACTACAAGCACACCTCCCACCACCGTGGTGCCCACTACGGTGCCCATCTTTCCAACCACCACCACCCTGGCACCAGACACCCCCACCACCCAGCCATCCAGCTACAAGAAGTGCTACTGCGAGTGCAAACTGGGCTGCAAGGAGTTCTGCCGCAAGGTGATCTCGTCCGGGCCCAAGCAGCCGCTGACCCAAATCTCCGCCATCGGAGAGTTTGCACCCGGTGGCCAGGTGGAGTACACGCATGTGCATCAGCGCAAGTACTTCCCCAAGTACGGCGGCGAGGGCTACGGACCCGTGGGCGGACCCAAGGTCTATAAGCCATATCCCTTGGTCTACGAACAGGCAGCTGCTGCCTCATCGTCGTCCAATCCCGCGGTGGCCAACATAGCTGCGCCCAATTACACGCTGGAAGAGTTGGCCCAACTGCTGAGCTCTGCCTACGGCAGTAAGAAGGGCTATCCGGCCGGTGTGCCATCTCAGCCACGCCCCCAAATTCAACTGCAGCCAGCGCCCTACTACTCCCCAGTTCCAGTCTACACGAAGCAGTCGGTACCGCTCGTGAGCAAAGTGGCGCCGGCACCCAGCATTAGTTATGCCGCGTCGGCGGTTTCATCCTCGTCGGGTGGTTCGGTGGCCAAGATAAAAACTCCCTACGAGGAGAAGATTGTGGTGGCCACACCGTCTACAATTTACGACAGAACCACCTCGTATCCCATTATTGAGGAGCCCAAGGCCTATGCAGCGCCCCAAACGGAGAACTATCCCGTGGTGCAGAGCCAAACGGAGTTGCCCGTCTATCCGAGTCCCACGGAATCGTATCCCAGCCACAAGGAGTCGTACCCCAGCATCACGGAGGCATATCCCAGCCAAACGGAGGCCTATCAGCCCCGCACGGAGAACTATCCCGTGCCAGTGCCTCAGCCGGAGGTGAAGCCATATGGTGGCCCCGAATCCGGCCCTGACAAGCCATCCTCGACCTTTGACCTGGCCATCGATAACTACCTGAAGGACTTTGGTTATGGCAACCAGGGAAGGGGCTATGTGGACTACTGAGTTCCACTCGTTGTTGTTGTTAGGTTAAGACTTATTCCTAGGGATCCTTTTATTTATTTATATAAAGTAAAGCTGTTGACTTAATGATTATTAAAATATTTAAAAATGTTATATTTGGAAGTTTGACTGGTAAAAGATGCAATCAATAATGGCTAAAATCGTAGTTTATTGACATTGTAGGGTTTTAAAAAGCTAAGCATACTTTTGGGGCTTGGTAATGCAGAATTGTTAACCAATTGTAGTCAGCTGTGAAAACAAGTTAACAATCTAAACAAATATTTTGGATATCGTTATATTATGTTTCCCAATTATATGATTTTTAGATACGTTTTTATATTTACAAAAATCGGACAACTTTATCTTATAGCTGCCATACACCAAGCTTATACGGCCGTTTTATGTGCTATATTGCCTTATTTTGAATACGGAACCTGAGATCAAGATATAGATTTAACCACCATTAGCTCATTTGCTATAGAATTATATTCCCTTAAAGACTTCAAAGCTCCTACAAAGGTTTTAAAATATCTAAACTATCGGACTTTTAGACAAAAAAGCAACCTATTATTAATTAAGGAATTAAACTCCATGTATAATTCATATATAATGTTCCCAAGCTTATTTAAGTTCCATCTTACCGACCAATTAAATTCTATCAGTCAAAGATTTCATTGTTCGGCTTTGTCGCATTTTATTATTTGTATTTAAAAAGTTTTTTTTTCATTTGCATTCATTGTTGATATACTTTCTTGTTGTTGATAACATTGAATAAGATTTTATCTTACGTTTTTCGCCAGCTTGCTTCTTGGTTTTATGCTTGCCAATCTGATAAACATGGTATATACACAAATAAGATTTATGAAATTTCGTATGCAAATATATATTTGTATGCATTATGAAAATTTTCAAACAACGCGTATATATAAGCGTTGATCAAGGCGAATGCAAATCGTTTCTATTTCAAGTTTTCTTTCATTTCTCGCAGCAGCCAACGATTTTCAGTTTAAGTCTTTCATTTTGTAACGTTCTAAATATGTCCGATTTACGTTTTCCATATTTTGAATAATCGATAATGCCTCTTGCCCCAATCGGTACACACGAAATAGCCGAAAAAAGCAGTAAGTTTAATAGTTCACTATAATTGCACTTGATAGTATATATTTAACAAATGGAGTAATTAGAACAAATTGCAGAGTACACTTGCAAAGATGCGAATGTGCGGTTTTATTTCTTTTCAATAATGTATGCATATAAAATAACAAATAAAAAATTAAATAATAATATTTAGAACATATTCGTACATTGTATATGAAGTGAAACTAAAAACGATAAATTGCAACACGTTGAAATAATGACGTCGTCCCAGCTATGAATTTAAACGTAAATTATCGAGAAGAAAATAATTATAGTTATACGATATTTTAAAATGTATATATACAGCTTCATTCATTAACAATCTCGATCCGTTGTTTTAAAGTACAATATATAATTTCCAGATTCTGTAAATCCGCCCATACCTTCTCGAATTCAGTTTAGTTTCGAAAATGTTCAACTGGTAAACCAAAAACAGAGCTCAAGATATCTTGTAGCTATACTGCTGCTGCTCCTTTTGTTGTTGGTGCTGTTTTCGGTCCCACAAAATTTTGCTAATTTTACAAATATAGGTGTCGTCACATCGTTACACTTTTAATATATAAATATGAGTACTTGAATTATTCAGTTGCCTTTTGTTTTGATTAAGTTGCTGACTAATGCATTTTCAATTGCAAATAGGAAAAGTTTCTTTGTTTTTGTTTTTTGGTTGCCTTGCATTTGCCTAGGTTCGCTTTCGCTTTCGTATTATGTATTACATTGAGTAGCCAGAGTTTCAATAAATTACGCGTTTATTTATCATGATTAAACATTGATTTGGTTAAGGTATTGTTTGTTTGTTTTGTTGTTTTTTTTTTTTTTTTGTTGCCTTTATCTTTACATTAAATGTGTAGAAAAATTCGTTAAATTGATTTGCATAAAGTTATTCGATCTCCTCTCCAGCTCCCGGTTAGCCACAAATACAAAGTTTAATTGGCTCGACAAATTAAATGACTGGCTGCACAGCCACGCGGTTTAAGTATTAAGTTTGCTACGATTTGTGCATTGCAGTTCTGCGCTATGAGTTAATTTATTCATTAATTATCCATTATTTGGCTGCAGTCTAGAATTGTAATTCGATTTCTTTTTCCCATCTTTAGCGTGTTTCCTCATGTTATACATATGATATACATTTATGGTACGTTGGATACTTAAGTTGGTTTATAAACTGTTTGCTGCAAATGCTAAAAACTTATTAGCTCTCCCACCCGACGAGGGACGCCAAGTGTCCCCGAATCTCGGCCCATCCCGAACTATCGGTGGCTGCCAAAACCACAGTGGCTCAAAGCCAGCCGCTGCCCCGAGTCGCCCATCCCAAATCCGCCACTGTCCCGCGTCGTCCTGTGCATCCTCCGGCGCTAGGTGAGCATGTAGACAAACAGCAGCGCCAACGCGACATTGAAAATCAGGACGAGCAGCATCAGCTGCTGGCGCACAAACCAGTCCTGGATGAAAAGTAACCAAAAACAATATAAATTAAAGTGATTTAAAGAGGTTTTTCTTATAATATAATCGATTTTGTAAACCAATTGAAGTGATTTTAATAATTTATATTGACAAAAGTAGAGATAGTTTTAAAATTTTTTGTGGACAATTGTGTTAAATTATATTTTCAAAATCCTTGATGACATTTTGAAATATAAGCATCAACTAATTCTTATTTACAATCCTTAACTTTTAGTTTAGTAAGAAATTTGAAAATGTAAAACCTTTAAAGAAACAGTTAGTGCTCCTTTCGAACTCATCGCCTAATTAGAAAAGTAACGAATATCAAAAAAGATTTAAGTGATGCCGGTTTTTGGAAAAAAAACAAATATGACAACATTATTATTTTTCCTGATTTATGAGGTTTTTCATATAATATAATCATATATCTTTTCTAAAGATCTATTTTTATAAATTTTGTATAGCAATTTAGCTGACTTTTATGAATTTTATAAACCAAAGTAAAGATAGTTATATCGGAGAAAATTAAGTTAAATTTTATGTTCAAAATCACTGTTTCCTTTTTGAAATATATGCATAAACTAATTCTTGTTTACCATTATTTACGGTCCTTAATTTGTAATCAAGCAAATAATTAAAAAATGTAGAACCTTTAAATAAACTGTTATTGTTGAAATCGAACTCATTACCAATTTAGCTAAATTCTGTTGTGAAATAAATATAATTCATCTTCAAGAGCATAACGTGCATACTTATATCAACTTGAAAACAATATGCTTATTAGTTGTATTTAAAAAACTTGAAAACCTCATTAATTAGTGCTGAATGCGCCATTAGCGTTAACATTTTGAGCATACAATGCCAGCACAAAAGGTGGTTTATGTTAGGTGCACTAATAGTAAAACAATTTCAGCGAATTCAAGTCAACCGAGGCATTTGGCCAAGCGAACTATACTATGTAAGTGTCGGTGTTCTGTCACTCACCTTAACCTGTGGACTGACCAAATACAGCAAGGGATTCGCCTTGAGGCGCTCGTTGACCTCGATCTGGCGACGCACTGCCTCCCGACGGGCAGATCCCAGGGCGGACACCTCCTCCCGGCTCATCGCCTCCGTGGCTCGCGGCAGCTCCTGGAAATCGGGCATGGACTTCTTCCGCTGCAGCGTCACATTGATGGGCACCGACTGCAAAATGGTTAAGCAAGTGTTCCGCGAATTAGTTGAGCATCATGGTAGTAGTCGACGGTAAACAAGGGATGCTCCACCTCAACGGGCGGCTCAACGATCCAGCTCTCACTGGCTCGCCGCGCCAACAGTGCCGGCGAGAACATGAGATCCTCCTCATCCTCCTCCGGATACCAGTCCATTTCTCGTTCGGCCTCTTCACTTTTGTCTTGGGGCAATAAGTTCTACGGCAGCGGCAGCTAAATGGCTGCTTGCATAACGTTGGACAATCTGTGTAATCTTTCCTCTACAGGCGGTTCCAACTTGTAAACGAGTTGGACATGGCTGATCCGCCTTTACTGAGGGGGAGCCAAAAATAGTCGTCCCTACTACCACAACCCGCAACCCACAACGAACAACCCGCTAACGAAGACGGCAATGAGCCAAAACAACAACAACAACAACGGATATATTGTCGCTGACTCTTCGCACAAAAATTGCTTTTCGCTTTTTGCTTTCAGAATTCCTATGTATTTTTTTTTTGTTTTGAATGCCGCACATATAAATATATAATTATATTGCCACTCGTCGTTGTTCTCGGAATCGAATTGGTAGGTAATCCGTTGAGGCCGACGCGTCGTTTGCTACTACCCGAAAATCGTCGCCATTTGGGGGGGCCACAAAAACCAATGGCGAGCGACACTTCCCGAGAGGATTTATTTATTGCCATGTCGCCGGCCTTCCAACGGCCACTTGTGGAGCATTCATTTCGCCGGAGAGTCATTCCGAGATTCAGATTCAGAGACTCTGAGATTCAGAGACTGTGAGATTCAGCGGCACGCATGCATTCCAACTTGGCCGACGGCTGGCTGATCCGGCTAACGTGCATTCGTGAACCGCTATAAATAGTCCAGAATGGGCACATGTTCGCCCCGCGATGGCCGAGAAATATGTTTTTAAAATGAACACTAAGTCTCCGGCTCTCACTAGCTCCCACTGCCATCACCATCACTTTCTCCCCCGCACAGAAAACAAATGGCCGACGAATTAAGTTAATTGTGCGGATTAACTGTGTTATGAAATATTTCAGGCAGCCGGCCCGGGAATTCAAGTGATCTCACGAACTCTAGAGTCTCTCAAAACAAACTAACCGAAAATTGACAAGCATGCTTTTTGGGAAATGTATATTTTACCTTGACTTTACATTAATCGAATTTTCGATTATTTTTACTAATAGAGTGGAAATTTAATTTAATTTAAATTTCAGATCATTTTTTGAAAGGTCCCGACTAAAAAAGGTATCCAAACTTGTAGGTTTGAATTTGAAAAAAGCTAATGGAAATTAAC